GTAAAAGAAATGAAACATTTTGCCTTTCAAAACTAATGGATAAATGTTCTCTTCTCCGATGAAACGAAAGTCGAGCTAAATTCAAAGGATAAGCGATCAAAATCCAAAGAAGAAGCTTTGAAAGCTCTTTGAAATTAGCAGTAAGTACTGTCAAGCATTCGTTCAGTATAATGTTCTGGGGATGCTTTTCTTTTCATGGAACTGGTTTCTTAAAACCTATTGAAAAGACCCTCAGGAGCGAGTAAGTACAAGAGAATTTTAGAGTCTTGTCTGCTCCCTTCTGCTGAAAGGGTGCAAATCGACCCCATCAAGCTCATTTTTTATGCAGGATAATGCTCCCTCTCACAAATCAAAATTAATGAAGGAATACTTTGATGAGAATCAGGTGAGTGTTATGACATGGCCACCCCAATCTCCTGACCTCAACCCCATAGAAAACTTATGGAGCATTATAAAGTACAGGCTCTTGAGAAAGCAGTTGAGCAACATGCTCCGTAAGGTTTCTATGGGGTTGAGGTCAGGAGATTGGGGTGGCCATGTCATAACGCCTGCTTCTCATCAAAATATTCTGCAAAGTTAATGTCAACTATCCCTGAATAGTGAATTGGTCAAAAACTTGTAAAAAATCTTCCTTTCAAAACTAGTGGGAGAAAGTGCCTTTGAGGTCAATGTATAACAATATTTCAAAATTGACTGAGATTTCAGTTGTTCCTAATGTACTTTACTATATGAACTGAATTGAATATGAAAAAGAGAGGTCTAGATTTCATAACTGGATGTAGATATACAATTCAAAGTTTTGCAGGACTACAAATGAAAGACGTGTCTTTCTTATTTATTACATTATTATTTGTTATGACTGATATTATTCTAAGGCCTATCTCTTCTAGACCAATTATCAGCTATGTCAAATAAATTCTCAGCTTGTATTTGGTATAATATGCACAACATTCTTGTATCACGAGAATACACTGCTAAGCATGAAAGCAAAAGCACTTGTTGCTCTTATTAGTTAAACCAACAACATTGCCACCTTTTGTAATCAAAATAACATTTCAGGTGAATTTCATCTACATGCAAAGATACTGTAATGTCTTTTTTCCTTCTGGTAACTTATTTTTAATATAGATAAGAAAATTGTTATGTTGCTCAACTATAGGTTGATAAGGTTAGTCTTCTGATGGCTGAATAACTTGGTAAAATTATATTTTGGTGTCTTTTATCACCTATCAAGGTGAGCAATTTTACAACAATGAAGAAAAAATAATTTCTGCTGAATAATCAAACTAATTCACTACACATTAAATGTTTGGTCTTCTTGTTACTTTGAATTTTAAAATTAAAGTTTATTAAATATTTTCTACTTTAAGTTTGTTTAACATTTTTCACCTAAAGTTTATTAAGTCTCTTCTCAAAGAAAGAAGCAAATGTGTTTTTTTTCCAGTGAGGTTCAGATTTTCCAAAGACTATGTTTCTGTTTTTACTGTGAAATTTATTTATGGAAAATTAAAATGCCATTATTTGTCAATAGTCACAAAGTTATTTTAGTACTTTTCTTTGATATTATTATTCATAAGAATTATTCATTGATAAAAGTTTTTGTTTAGTTTAATTACCATTAAACATAAGAGAAAAATGTAAAATTTTTGTATTACAAAATAAATAAAAAGTATGTTTTTACATAAATTTAATGATATATAATAATAATAACAAATTTAAAATATTTATTTCAATATTTTTTTTTTATAATTTAAAAACATTGTGCACGAAATTAATCCTCCTGCTCAATCATTTTCCCAGGGTCTTCAAAAGTTTTTCAAAACTGGTAAAAAAGTGAGCTTAGTTGAGACACTATTTGTCGTTGCTGTATTAAAAGATAAGAAAATGTTGTGCTGAGAGACATGGATGCGAGAAGGGTTAATGCCTGAAACCCGTGGGAAGAATTGTAGATTTAATTCGTACATAAGCAATTTGAAGCTTACGTTCTGCAGTTTGAACAATGGGATGTGACCCAGACTTGAAGGTCAATGTTGGATTGACGCACAGCTGCCGAAAGCGGAAAAGTTATTTTTCGCTAAATACAATTTAATTCAAGACAGGATCAAGGGTGGATAAGCCGCCCACATTCGCTGAAAAGATTGAGGGAATTCCCTAAAGTTATGATACAGGAATGTCCTTACTTCACCATACCCCACGCCAGTTTTTGGCAGTGTCCATAAATACAAATACACGAAGTGAATTCGTCAGAAGAGACGGGTTGGAGATGACAGAAGAGAAGAAACTGACTGAGATAAGAGATGGGTCAAGACAGAAGAGAGGTCATGTGACAAACCTTACCAGCAACAGCAAACCAGATTTTGTCCAGTTAGCGTCAGTAGTGTTACTTCCGATTTAGATGTGGATTGGACTGATAATTCTGTGTGAACTTTGATAAACCAATTATTGTACTGAGGACTATTATAAAAGCAATATTTAATATTGTTCAATTAATCTGAGTGTTAATTTTTTTTCTGTGCGTCATCGCCCAACTGGAAGATACCAGCGATGATTCAGTCTTGGCCTACTTATGATCAAAAATCACGTGGGATAAGGGATGAAGCGATTTTCATTGATCAACTGCGGTGTTGGAAATCTTGAACAAACGGCGAAGGGTTTGGTTGCCGTGACCATGAATCAACCCTGAAAGACTATGTCGGAGTTAACTCCTCCTTTAGTTCGTTAACCCTTTTCACCAGGGGTCTCTCTTCCCTGGCTAGAAATAGTCGCTGACCCTTCGCCTCTTCCTCTTTTTCCCTCAGGCCTTTGGGCCGACACCTGGAGGTAAATCTCTCTTTTTTTTTCCTCAGGCTTTCAGCCTTACCACCTCGCAGATGTGAACGCTCACAGAGATAGCGTTTCCCAAATGCTGGGAACACGCTAAGCACAACACACAAACACACACATATGTTTCTTCTACTTCTACTCCACAACACTCACATCCACGGTCCTCTACAACTATGATTTGCATCTTGCTAAGACAATTTGCTCTTTTTTAAAATCTTTTCTGATTTTCAGTTTTACTCGATTTGAATTGATTTATTAGCATAAGTGACCATGAGTCGGAAAGATCTGAAGTGTTAGATGTTAGGGGCGAGGCAAAAAAAAATGTTAGTGGCATGAGGTAATTACTGAGAGGAGTCATGGTCTCAATCTTTGGGAGGAACCTGAAATAGTTGAAGGATTGGTTAACATCAGTCAAAAAGGGGCGGTGCATATATGAGCTATCTGATAAGGAAATAGCATACGTAGCATTTAACACTGCAGTGGGGGTACCGTTTCGGATTTCATAGGACACTGCTTGGTGGGAAATTTCCAGTTGTCCTAGAGTGAGTTTGAGGAACTATATATAAAAGAATTTGCCAATGAGGGGACAGCGATAGGGTCAATAAGAAGCCTTATAAAATTAATGCAATTAAAGGACAAAACACCCGGGGAGCTAGGGCAGAGAAGCTGGACGGTCTAGCCTTTCCAGAAGAGGCCAGAAGGAATGCCGCCATGATGGCCCAGCTGACCGACCTATATGTGGAGGCGCTCTCGAATGAGCATGTGCAACATTATATTAAAAAAGAAGCACTGGTCAAGCTGTCCGTGGCAGTAGTTCTGGCCAAAGTGTATAAGAGAAGGTAAAGAAGAAAAAGCACAAGAGTGAAGTCGGAAGGTAGGCAGGCAGGAGGGCGGAAAGAGAGCTGCCACGTGGGATAGGAAGATGGTATGGGAGGGAAGATGAACCGGAGGAAAAGGAAGAGGTTCCCAATGGGGGATAGGAAAGTAATAGGAAAGACAATGAGTGCCTTGGTTAACACGGGGGGGGGGGGGAGAAGCAGTACAAAAATCTGAAGCTGCAGGGAGGGTTAAATAAAACCAATATAGAAATTGATCAGGTGGACAGGAAGCCAGTGAAAATAACAGGAATGGTAAGGCTCCGGATGAGGGTAGGAGGGAGAACCAAATTCTGTGTGGCTCTGGATTTCTTTGGAGAGATGTCCCTGGGGAAAGATTGGTTACACGAACAGAGGGCGAAACTGAAGTTCAACTCCCCCACCCCCAGTACTGAGTATTAATGGCGTAGAATTGCCATTAGGGATGGAAGAAGATATAAAATTCCCACCAAGGACAGCTGAGTCAGGTCAGGATATGTTGGTGACAGGGGAAGAACGGAAGAAAGAAGTTCTTCAACTGATCCCTGTAGAAGAATATAGCCCCGAAGAAGGCGAAATGGCCTCTTATGGGCACCTGGCTAAATAGACAATTAAAAAAAGAAGAAAACGGGGAAGAAGGACTGTGAGAAGATTTAGGAAGAGGAACGAAATGATGTCCTGGTGAAGAAGTCCTGGGTTTTGGCTCGAAACCTCCCAAAAATGGAAAGTCTTTGAGTGATTGAGAAAAAGAGAAAGAAATACAATTCTCATAACTCCAAAAGCAATTGAGAGAAATCGTTGCCTCTTGCTAGGAAGAAGAAATACACGTACAGTGCCTTTCAGTGGGAAGGAGGAAAAGGTGAACATTATTATGAAGCGTAATCGCCACTGCTATTTGAAAAGGTGAAATAGTTGAACAGTGCCTTGCAGTGTGAGGGAGGAAGGCAGAGGTGAATACTATTACGATGCGTAATCTCCACTGCTGCTAGAAAAGGTGAAATAGTTGAACAGTGCCTTGCAGTGTGAGGGAGGGAGGCAGAGGTGAATACTATTACGATGCGTAATCGCCACGGCTGCTAGAAAAGGTGAAATAGTTGAACAGTGCCTTGCAGTGTGAGGGAGGAGGCAGAGGTGAACACTATTACGATGCGTAATCTCCACTGCTGCTAGAAAAGGTGAAATAGTTGAACAGTGCCTTGCAGTGTGAGGGAGGGAGGCAGAGGTGAATACTATTACGATGCGTAATCGACACTGCTGCTAGAAAAGGTGAAACAGATGAACAGTGCCTTGCAGTGTGAGCGAGGGAGGCAGAGGTGAACACTATTACGATGCGCGATCTCCACTGCTGCTAGAAAAGGTGAAATAGATGAACAGTGCCTTGCAGTGTGAGGGAGGGAGGCAGAGGTGAACACTATTACGATGCGCGATCTCCACTGCTGCTAGAAAAGGTGAAATAGATGAACAAGTGTAGGGAGGGTGAACAGAGGTGAACTGCCTTGCAGTGTGAGGGGATGTAATCGCCATGCTGCAGAAAAGGTGAAACAGTTGAACAGCGTCTTGCAGTGTGAGGGAGGGAGGCAGAGGTGAACACACATTACGATGCTTAATCGCCACTGCTGCTAGAAAAGGTGAAATAGATGAACAGTGCCTTGCAGTGTGAGGGAGGGAGGCAGAGGTGAACACTATTACGATGCGTAATCGACACTGCTGCTAGAAAAGGTGAAATAGATGAACAGTGCCTTGCAGTGTGAGGGAGGGAGGCAGAGGTGAACACTATTACGATGCGTAATCTCCACTGCTGCTAGAAAAGGTGAAATAGATGAACAGTGCCTTGCAGTGTGAGGGAGGGAGGCAGAGGTGAACACTATTACGATGCGTAATCTCCACTGCTGCTAGAAAAGGTGAAATAGATGAACAGTGCCTTGCAGTGTGAGGGAGGGAGGCAGAGGTGAACACTATTACGATGCGTAATCTCCACTGCTGCTAGAAAAGGTGAAATAGATGAACAGTGCCTTGCAGTGTGAGGGAGGGAGGCAGAGGTGAACACTATTACGATGCGTAATCTCCACTGCTGCTAGAAAAGGTGAAATAGATGAACAGTGTCTTGCAGTGTGAGGGAGGGGAGGCAGAGGTGAACACTATTACGATGCGTAATCTCCACTGCTGCTAGAAAAGGTGAAATAGATGAACAGTGCCTTGCAGTGTGAGGGAGGGAGGCAGAGGTGAACACTATTATGATGCGTAATCTCCACTGCTGCTAGAAAAGGTGAAACAGATGAACAGTGCCTTGCAGTGTGAGGAGGGAGGGCAGAGGTGAACACTATTACGATGCGTAATCTCCACTGCTGCTAGAAAAGGTGAAATAGATGAACAGTGTCTTGCAGTGTGAGGGGAGGGAGGCAGAGGTGAAACTATTACGATGCGTAATCGCCACTGCTGCTAGAAAAGGTGAAATAGATGAACAGTGCCTTGCAGTGTGAGGGAGGGAGGCAGAGGGTGAAACTATTACGATGCGTAATCTCCACTGCTGCTAGAAAAGGTGAAATAGATGAACAGTGTCTTGCAGTGTGAGAGGAGGGAGGCAGAGGTGAACACTATTACTGATGCGAAAAGTGTAATCTCCACTGCAGAAAAAAGTGAAATAGATGAACAGGAAGGCAGAGGTGAACACAGATGTCTTGCAGCTGTGAGGGAGATGGAGGCAGAGGTGAACACTATTACGATGCGTAATCTCCACTGCTGCTAGAAAAGGTGAAATAGATGAACAGTGCCTTGCAGTGTGAGGGAGGGAGGCAGAGGTGAACACTATTATGATGCGTAATCTCCACTGCTGCTAGAAAAGGTGAAATAGATGAACAGTGCCTTGCAGTGTGAGGGAGGAGGCAGAGGTGAACACTATTACGATGCGTAATCTCCCTGCTGCTAGAAAAGGTGAAATAGATGAACAGTGCCTTGTGAGTGAGGGGGAGGCAGAGGTGAACACTATTACGATGCGTAATCTCCACTGCTGCTAGAAAAGGTGAAATAGATGAACAGTGCCTTGCAGTGTGAGGGGAGGGAGGCAGAGGTGAACACTATTACGATGCTTAATCTCCACTGCTGCTAGAAAAGGTGAAATAGATGAACAGTGTCTTGCAGTGTGAGGGAGGGAGGCAGAGGTGAACACTATTACGATGCGTAATCTCCACTGCTGCTAGAAAAGGTGAAATAGATGAACAGTGCCTTGCAGTGTGTGGAGAGCAGGGAACACTATTACGGGTAAGGCTAGAAAAGAGATGAACAGTGCCTTGCAGTGTGAGGGAGGGAGGCGATGCGTAATGCGCCACTGCTGCTAGAAAAGGTGAAATAGATGAACAGTGCCTTGCAGTGTGAGGGAGGGAGGCAGAGGTGAACACTATTACGATGCGTAATCGCCACTGCTGCTAGAAAAGGTGAAATAGATGAACAGTGCCTTGCAGTGTGGGGAGGGAAGAGGTGAACACTATTACGATGCGTAATCTCCACTGCTGCTAGAAAAGGTGAAATAGATGAACAGTGCCTTGCAGTGTGAGGGAGGGAGGCAGAGGTGAACACTATTACGATGCGTAATCTCCACTGCTGCTAGAAAAGGTGAAATAGATGAACAGTGCCTTGCAGTGTGAGGGAGGGAGGCAGAGGTGAACACTATTACGATGCGTAATCGCCACTGCTGCTAAAAGGTGAAATAGATGAACAGTGCCTTGCAGTGTGAGGGAGGGAGGCAGAGGTGAACACTATTACGATGCGTAATCGCCACTGCTGCTAGAAAAGGTGAAATAGATGAACAGTGCCTTGCAGTGTGAGGGAGGGGGAAGCAGAGGTGAACACTATTACGATGCTTAATGAACAGTGCCCCTGCTGCTAGAAAAGGTGAAATAGATGAACAGTGCCTTGCAGTGTGAGGGAGGGAAGCATTACGATGCGTAAAGGTGAAATAGATGAACAGTGCCTTGATGAAGCAATGAACACTCCACTGCTGCTGCTAGAAAAGGTGAAATAGATGAACAGTGCCTTGCAGTGTGAGGGAGGGAGGCAGAGGTGAACACTATTACGATGCGTAATCTCCACTGCTGCTAGAAAAGGTGAAATAGTTGAACAGTGCCTTGCAGTGTGAGGGAGGGAAGCAGAGGTGAACACTATTACGATGCGTAATCTCCACTGCTGCTAGAAAAGGTGAAAAAGATGAAAGTGCCTTAGATGAACATGCTGCCTTGAAATAGATGAGGGAGGGAGGCAGAGGTGAACACTATTACGCTGCGTAATCTCCACTGCTGCTAGAAAAGGTGAAATATATGAACAGTGCCTTGCAGTGTGAGGGAGGGAGGCAGAGGTGAACACTATTACGATGCGTAATCTCCACTGCTGCTAGAAAAGGTGAAATAGATGAACAGTGCCTTGCAAGTGGTGGGGGGGAGGCAGAGGTGAACACTATTACGATGCGTAATCTCCACTGCTGCTAGAAAAAGGTGAAATAGATGAACAGTGCCTTGCAGTGTGAGGGGAGGGAGGCAGAGGTGAACACTATTACGATGCGTAATCTCCACTGCTGCTAGAAAAAGGTGAAATAGATGAACAGTGCCTTGCAGTGAGGGGGGAGGCAGAGGTGAACACTATTACGATGCGTAATCCACTGCTGCTAGAAAGGTGAAATAGATGAACAGTGCCTTGCAGTGTGAGGGAGGGGCAGAGGTGAACACTATTACGATGCGTAATCTCCACTGCTGCTAAAAAAAGGTGAAATAGATGAACAGTGCCTTGCAGTGTGAGGGAGGGACAGGTGAACACTGCTGCGAGAAAAGGTGAAATAGTTGACAGTGTCCTTGCAGTGCTGCTGGAAAAGGTGAAATAGATATCTCCACTGCTGCAGTGCCTTGAACAGTGTGTGAGGAGGGAGGGAGGAAGAGGTGAACACTATTACGATGCGTAATCTCCACTGCTGCTAGAAAAGGTGAAATAGATGAACAGTGCCTTGCAGTGTGAGGGAGGGAGGCAGAGGTGAACACTATTACGATGCGTAATCTCCACTGCTGCTAAAAAAGGTGAAATAGATGAACAGTGCCTTGCAGTGTGAGGGAGGGAGGCAGAGGTGAACACTATTACGATGCGTAATCGCCACTGCTAGAAAAGGTGCTAGATGAAAAGTGCTTGGTGAAATAGATGAACAGTGCCTTGAAATGGTGAACAGTGCCTTGCAGGGAGGGAGGAGCAGAGGTGAACACTATTACGATGCGTAATCTCCACTGCTGCTAGAAAAGGTGAAATAGATGAACAGTGCCTTGCAGTGTGAGGGAGGGAGGCAGAGGTGAACACTATTACGATGCGTAATCTCCACTGCTGCTAGAAAAGGTGAAATAGATGAACAGTGCCTTGCAGTGTGAGGGAGGGGGGAGGCAGAGGTGAACACTATTACGATGCGTAATCTCCACTGCTGCTAGAAAAGGTGAAATAGATGAACAGTGCCTTGCAGTGTGAGGGAGGGAGGCAGAGGTGAACACTATTACGATGCGTAATCGCCACTGCTGCTAGAAAAGGTGAAATAGATGAACAGTGCCTTGCAGTGTGAGGAGGGGAGGCAGAGGTGAACACTATTACGATGCGTAATCGCCTGCTGCTAGAAAAGGTGAATCTGAACACTGCCTGTGTGAGGAAAAGGTGAACAATAGATGAAAAGTGAAATAGTTGAACAGTGTCTTGCAGTGTGATGGAGGGAGGCAGAGGTGAACACTATTACGATGCGTAATCGCCACTGCTGCTAGAAAAGGTGAAATAGATGAACAGTGCCTTGCAGTGTGAGGGGGGGGAGCAGAGGTGAACACTGGCCACGTGCGTAATCTCCACTGCTGCTAGAAAGGTGAAATAGTTGAACAGTGCCTTGCAGTGTGATGGAGGGAGGCAGAGGTGAACACTATTACGTGCGTAATCTCCACTGCTGCTAGAAAAGGTGAAATAGTTGAACAGTGCCTTGCAGTGTGATGGAGGAGGGAGAGCAGAGTGAACACTATTACGATGCGTAATCTCCACTGCTGCTAGAAAAGGTGAAATAGATGAACAGTGTCTTGCAGTGTGAGGGAGGGAAGCAGAGGTGAACACTATTACGATGCGTAATCTCCCTGCTGCTAAAAAGGTGAAATAGATGAACAGTGCCTTGCAGTGTGAGGGAGGAGGCAAGGTGAACACTATTACGATGCGTAATCTCCACTGCTGCTAAAAGGTGGAAATAGATGAACAGTGCCTTGCAGTGTGAGGAGGGAGGCAGAGGTGAACACTATTACGATGCGTAATCGCCACTGCTGCTAGAAAAGGTGAAATAGATGAACAGTGCCTTGCAGTGTGAGGGGGGGAGGCAGAGGTGAACACTATTACGATGCGTAATCTCCTGCTGCTAGAAAGGTGAAATAGATGAACAGTGCCTTGCAGTGTGAGAGGAGGGAGGCAGAGGTGAACACTATTACGATGCGTAATCTCCCTGCTGCTAGAAAAATTGAAATAGTTAGACAGTGCCTTGCAGTGTGAGGGAGGGGAGGCAGAGGTGAACACTATTACATGCGTAATCTCCACTGCTGCTAGAAAAGGTGGAAATAGATGAACAGTGCCTTGCAGTGTGGGGAGGGAGCAGAGGTGAACACTATTACGATGCGTAATCGCCACTGCTGCTAGAAAAGGTGAAATAGATGAACAGTGCCTTGCAGTGTGAGGGAGGGAGGCAGAGGTGAACACTATTACGATGCGTAATCGCCACTGCTGCTAGAAAGGTGAAATAGATGAACAGTGCCTTGCAGTGTGAGGGAGGGAGAGCAGAGAATTGAACCTTACGATGCGTAATCTCCACTGCTGCTAGAAAAGGTGAAATAGATGAACAGTGCCTTGCAGTGTGAGGGGGAGGGAGGCAGGGTGAACACTATTACGATGCGTAATCTCCTGCTGCTAGAAAAGGTGAAATAGTTGAACAGTGCCTTGCAGTGTGTGAGGGGAGGAGGCAGAGGTGAACACTATTACGATGCGTAATCGCCACTGCTGCTAGAAAAGGTGAAAATAGATGAACAGTGCCTTGCAGTGTGAGGGAGGAGGCAGGTGAACACTATTACGATGCGTAATCTAAAAGGTGAAATAGATGAACAGTGCCTTGCAGTGTGAGGGAGGGAGGCAGAGGTGAACACTATTACGATGCGTAATCTCCACTGCTGCTAGAAAAGGTGAAATAGATGAACAGTGCCTTGCAGTGTGAGGAGGGAGAGCAGAGGTGAACACTATTTACGATGCGTAATCTCCACTGCTGCTAGAAAGGTGAAATAGATGAACAGTGCCTTGCAGTGTGAGGGAGGGAGGCAGAGGTGAACACTATTACGATGCGTAATCACTGCTGCTAAAAAAGGTGAAATAGATGAACAGTGCCTTGCAGTGTGAGGGAGGGAGGCAGAGGTGAACACTATTACGATGCGTAATCTCCTGCTGCTAGAAAAGGTGAAATAGATTGAACAGTGCCTTGCAGTGTGAGGGAGGGAAGCAGAGGTGAACACTATTACGATGCATAATCTCACTGCTGCTAGAAAAGGTGAAATAGTTGAACAGTGCCTTGCAGTGTGTGATGGAGGGAGGCAGAGGTGAACACTATTACGATGCGTAATCTCCACTGCTGCTAGAAAAGGTGAAATAGTTGAACAGTGTCTTGCAGTGTGAGATGGAGGAGAGCAGAGGTGAACACTATTACGATGCGTAATCTCCACTGCTGCTAGAAAATTGAAATAGATAGACAGTGCCTTGCAGTGTGGGGAGGGAGGAGAGAGGTGCCTATTACATGCGTAATCTCCACTGCTGCTAGAAAAGGTGAAAAAATGAACAGTGTCTTGCAGTGTGAGGGAGAGCAGAGGTGAAACACTATTACGATGCGTAATCGCCACTGCTGCTAGAAACAGATGAACAGTGCCTTGCAGTAGATGAACACTATTAGATGCAATCTCCGGCTGCTAGAAAGTGTAGATGAAAAGGGAAGGAGGAGGGGAGGCGAAGGTGAACACTGTTACGATGTAATCTCCACTGCTGCTAGAAAGGTGAAAATAGATGAACAGTGCCTTGCAGAATGAGGGAGGGAGGCAGAGGTGAACACTATTACGATGCGTGCTGCTGGAAAAGGTGAAATAGATGAACAGTGCTTGCAGTGTGAGGAGGAGAGCAGAGAACCTTTAAAATACGATGCCTAAAATCTCCTGCTGCTGAAAAGGTGGAAAAGTTGAACAGTGCCTTGCAAAATAGGGATGAAGGCAGAGGTGACGTAGAAGAATCTCACTGCTGCTAGAAAGGTAGAATAGATGAACAGTGTCTTGCAGTGTGAAGGGGAGGAAAGCAGAGGTGAACACTGTTACGATGCGTAATCGCCCTGCTGCTAGAAAAGGTGAAATAGTTAGAACAGTGCCTTGCAGTGTGAGGGAGGGAGGCAGAGAATGAACACTAAATACGATGCGTAATCTCCTGCTGCTGCTAGAAAAGGTGAAATAGATGAACAGTGCACTTGCAGTGTGAGCCTTAAGGCAGAACAGTGAACACTATTACGATGCGTAATCCCACTGCTGCTAGAAAAGGTGAAATAGTGAACAGTGCCTTGTAGTGTGAGGGCCCAAAATAGGATGAACACTATTAGGAAGTAATCGCCACTGCTGCTAGAAAAGGTGAAATAGATGAACAGTGCCTTGCAGTGTGAGGGAGGAGGAATTAGTGAACACTAGAACGAACAGTGCACGTAGAACTGCTGCTAGAAAAGGTGAAATAGTTGAACAGTGCCTTGCAGTGTGATGGAGGGAGGAGAGAGGTGAACACTATTAGGATGTAATCACCACTGCTGCTAGAAACCCTTGAAATAGATGAACAGTGTCTTGCAGTGTGGCCCAAAAGCAGGATGAACTATTACGATGCGTAATCACTGCTGCTGCTAGAAAAGGTGGAAATAGTTTGAACAGTGTCTTGAGTGTGATGGAGGGAGAAGAATTGAACACTATTACGATGCGTAATCGCCACTGCTGCTAGAAAGGTGGGAAATAGTTGAACAGTGCCTTGCAGTGTGAGGGGAGGGAATAGAGGTGAACACTGCAACGTGCGTAATCGCCACTGCTGCTAGAAAAAGGTGAAATAGTTGAACAATCAAGCAGTGTGAGGGAGGGAAGCAGAGGTGAACACGGATCTGCAGGCCTGCTGAGGTGAAACAGATGAACAGTGCTGCTAGAAAGGTGAACACTATTTGATGCGTACAGTGCCTTGCTAGTGCCTAAAATAGAGGAACAGTGAAGTGTGAAGGGACCAGGGGGAACACTAACGATGCGTAATCGCCACTGCTAGAAGAATTGGTGAAATAGTTGAACAGTACGTAGAAGTGTGAGGGAGGGAGGCAGAGGTGAACACTATTACGTGCGTAATCTCCTGCTGCTAGAAAAAGTGCAAACTAGATGAACAGTGCCTTGCAGTGTGAGGGAGGAGGCAGAGGTGATGCCCTAATTAGAACGTAATCTCCACTGCTGCTAGAATCAGGCCCAAAATAGGTTGAACAGTGTCTTGAAGTGTGCCCAAAAGGGAGGCAGTGGTGAACACTGTTACGATGCGAAATCGCACGTAGAAGAAAAGGTGAAATAGATGAACAGTGTCACGTAGAAGGGGAGGGCCCAAAACACTATTAGATGCGTAATCGCCACTGCTGCTCAAATATAGTTGAACAGTGCACGGGTAGTGTGGGGGCCCAAAATAGACAGAACACTATTACGATGCGTAATCCCCGGGCTGCTAGAAGAATGAAATAGATGAATGATGTCTTGCAGTGTGAGGGAGGGCCTGCAGAAGCACCGCCCTATTAGAATGCGTAATCGCCACGTAGAAGAAAATTAAAATAGGGTTGAACAGTGCCTTGCAGTGTGAGGGGAGCCCAACAGAACGGAACCTGCATTAGAAGAATTGTGCCCACTGCTGCTAGAACAGTGCAAATAGTTAGACAGTGTCCAAGTAGGGGGGAGGGGAGGCAGAGGTAGACACAAGCCGTAAATAGAATGCTGCTAGAAAAGGTAGAAGAATAGTTGAACAGTAAAGTGTGAGGAAGAGCAATCGTAGAACACTATCGGGCCTTAAATCGCCACTGCTGCTAGAAAGGTCAAAATAGATGAACAGTGTCTTGCAGTGTAAGGGGGCCCTAAGAGAATGAACAGTGCACCTAGCGTAATCCCACTGCTGCTAGAAAGGTGAAATAGAAGAATCAGTGCCTTGCAGTGTGAACGAGGAGGGAGGCAGGAGGTGAACACCAAATTAGAATGCGTAATCGCCACTGCTGCTAGAAAAGGTGAAAGGGTTGAACAACCTTGCAGTGTGAGGAAGGAGAATAGGTGAACTATAAGTACGTAGAAGAATTGCTGCCCAAAAAGGAAATAGAGGCACAGTGTCTTGCAGTGTATCCGGCCCTAAATAGGCGAATACTATACGTAGAAGAATCTCCAGGTTCAAAATGAACTGGATGAACTGTGCCTTGCATGAAGAAATCAGGCAGAGGTGAAACAGAACGAAATCGCCTGCTAGAAGAAAGGGTGAAAATAGGATGAACAGTGTCTTGCAGTGTGAGGGAGGGGAGGCAGAAATTAACAGAACACTATTACGATGCGTAATCTCCACTGCTGCTAGAAAAAGGTGAACTGGTGAACTGTGCCTGCAGTGTGAGGGAGAGGCAGAGGTGAATACTATTACGATGCGTAATCGCCACTGCTGCTAGAAAAGACTGAAATAGTTGAACAGTGTCTTGCAGTGTGAGGAGGCAGTGGGTGGTACTATTACGATGCGCATAATCCCGCCACTGCTGCTAGAAAATTGAAATAGTTGAACAGTGTCTTTGCAGTGTGAGGGAGGGGAGGCAGAGGTGAACACTATTACGATGCGTAATCTCCACTGCTGCTTTAGAAAGGTGATCTAGTTGAACTGTTCCTTGCAGTGTGTGAGGGGAGGGAGGCAGAGGTGAATACTATTACGATGCGTAATCGCCACTGCTGCTAGAAAGGAAATGGAATAGTTGAACAGTGAACACCTTGTAATCTCCTGGGCTGAAAAGGTGATCTAGGGAACTGGCAGTGCAGCAGGGTGAACACTACGATGCGCAATCGCCACTGCTGCTAGAAGGTAAATATTGAACACTGGGGCTAGAAAGGTGAACACTATTACGATGCAATCCCGCCAGTGTCTTGAAATAGTTGAACTGTGAGGTGGGAGGAGGAGGCAGAGGTGAACACTATTACGATGCGTAATCGACACTGCTGCTAGAAAAGGTGAAATAGATGAACAGTGCCTTGCAGTGTGAGGGAGGGAGGCGGAGGTGAACACTATTACGATGCGTAATCCACTGCTGCTAGAAAAGGTGAAAAAGTTGAACAGTGTCTTGCAGTGTGAGGGAGGCAGAGGTGAACACTATTACGATGCGTAATCTCCACTGCTGCTAGAAAAGGTAGACTAGTTGAACAGTGCTTGCAGTGTGAGGGATGGAGAGCAGAGGTGAACTGTACGATGCGTAATCGCCACTGCTGCGTGAAAAGTTCAGTGTCCACTGAGGGAGGAAACTATTACGATGCGTAGTTGAAAAGGTAGAATAGTTGAACAGTGTCTTGCAGTGTGTGAGGGAGGGAGGCAGAGGTGAACACTATTACGATGCGTAATCGCCACTGCTGCTAGAAAAGGTGATCTGTTTGAACAGTGCTTGCAGTGTGAGGGGGGGGGGAGGCAGAGGTGAACACTATTACGATGCACAATCGCCACTGCTGCTAGAAAAGTTGAAATAGTTAGACATTGCCTTGCAGTGTGAGGATGGAGAGCAGAGGCAGTAATCTCCACTGCACTGCTAGAAAAGGTGATCTAGTTGAACTGTTCCTTAGTGTGAGGATGCGTAATCGACTGCTGCTAGAAAAGGTGAAATAGATGAACAGTGCCTTGCAGTGTGAGGGAGGAGGCAAGTGAACACTATTACGATGCGTATCTTCCTGCTGCTAGAAAAGGTTGAAATAGTTGAACAGTGTCTTGCAGTGTGAGGGATGGAGGCAGGGAGGTGAACACTATTACGATGCATGTAATCTCCACTGCTGCTAGAAAAGGTGAAATAGTTGAACAGTTCCTTGCAGTGTGAGGATGGAGTGAACACTATTACGATGCATAATCTCCCTGCTGCTAGAAAAGGTGATCTAGTTACTGTGCCTTGCAGTGTAGGGATCGCCACTGAATACTGCTGAAATCGCCACTGCTGCTAGAAAAAAATGTTTGAACAGTGCCTTGCAGTGTGAGGGATGAGGCAGAGGTGAACACTATTGCAGTGCACAATCGCCACTGCTGCTAGAAAAGTTGAAATATTTGAACAGTGCCTTGCAGTGTTGAGGAGGACTGAAGTGAACACACTATTACGATGTAATCGCCACTGGCTAGAGGGAAATAAGGGGTGCCTTGCAGTGTTAGGATGCGCAATCGATGCATGTCTCCACTGCTGCTAGAAAAGGTGAAATAGTTGAACTGTGCCTTGCAGTGTGGGAGGGGGAGGCAGAGAGGTGAACACTATTACGATGCGCAATCGCCAATCTAGAAAAGGTGGGAAATATTTAGACAGTGCCTTGCAGTGTGAGGGGAAAAGTTGAACAATTAGTTAATTTGCTGCTGTTAAATATTTGAACAGTGCCTTGCAGTGAAGGAGGGAGGCAGAGGTGAACACTATTACGATGCGCAATCGCCACTGCTGCTAGAAAAGGTGAAATATTTGAACAGTGCCTTGCAGTGTGAGAGGGATGGAGGCAGAGGTGAACACTATTGCGATGCGTAATCTCCACTGCTGCTGCTAGAAAAGTTGAAATGGTTGGGCACTGCCTTGCAGTGTGAGGAGGGAGGCAGAGGTGAAATGCAATCGCCACTGCTGCTAGAACAGTGAACAATGCAGTGTTGAACACACGTGCATTGCCTTGTGTGAGGGGATGGAGGATGCAGAGGTGAACACTATTACGATGCGTAATCTCACTGCTGCTAGAAAGGTGATCTAGTTGAACTGTGCCTTGCAGTGTGAGGAGGGAGGCAGAGGTGAATACTATTAAAATGCGTAATCGCCACTGCTGCTGAAAAGGTTGAAATATTTGAACAGTGCCTTGCAGTGTGAGGGAGAGGGAGGCAGATGGTGAACACTATTACGAAGCTAGAAAGGTGAAATAGTTGAACAGTGCCTGCAGTGTAGGGAAAAATTGCGAACATAGTTGACTGTGCGTAGGGGAGGCAGATGAATACTCTTGCAATCGCCAGTGAAAATGAAATAGAACAGTGCCTTGCAGTGTGAGGGGAATGCAGGTGAAGAATTACGATGCGTAATCGCCACTGCTGCTAGAAAAGTTGATCTATTTGAACTGTGCCTTGCAGTGTGAGGAAGGGAGGCAGAGGGAAACTGTTACGATGCGTAATCGCTGCTGCTAGAAAAGGTGAAATAGTTGAACAGTGCCTTGAAGTGGGAGGATGGAGCAGAGGTGAACACTATTACGATGCGTAATCTCCACTGCAGTGCTAGAAAAGTTGATCCTATTTGAACTGTGCCTTGCAGTGTGAGGGAGGGAGGCAGAGGTGAATACTATTACGATGCAATCGCCACTGAAGCTAGAAAAGGTGAAATATTTGAACAGTGCCTTGCAGTGTGGGGAGGGAGGCAGAGGTGAACACTATTACGATGCAAAATCGCCACTGCTGCTAGAAAAGGTGAAATAGTTGAACAGTGCCTTGCAGTGTGAGGGAGAGGAGCATAAGGTGAACACTATTACGATGCGTTTATGCCACTGCTGCTAGAAAAAGGTGAAATAGTTGAACAGTGTCTTGCAGTGTAGGGATGGAGGTTTATGAAACTATTGTGATGCGAATCTCACTGCTGCTAGAAAAAGAAATCTGGGAACTGTTACTTGCAGTGTGAGGGAGGGGGAGGCAGAGGTGAATACTATTACGATGCAGTTTATGACTGCTAGAAAAGGTGAAATAGTTAACAGTGCCTTGCAGTGTGAGGGATGGAGAAAGAGGTGAACACTAACGATGCTGTAATCTCCACTGCTGCTAGAAAGGGAACTATAACTGTTCCTTTATGAATAAATGTGGGAACTATAGGTGCAGTTTAGGAGGAGGAAAATGTGAACACTATTACGATGCGTAATTTGCTGCTAAAAAGTTGAAATAGTTGAACAGTGCAGTTTATGAAGAAATGGAGCTGCTACTATAATGCAGTTTATGAAGATATGCGTAAATCTCCACTGCTGCTAGAAAAGAAGAAATAGTTGAACTGTGCCTTGCAGTGTGAGGGAGGGAGGAAAAATGTGGGAACTGTTACGATGCATGTTTACTGCTGCTAGAAAAGTGGAACTAGTTAGACAGTGCCTTGAAGATGTGAGGGAACTATAAGGTGAACACTTTTACGATGAAAATCGCCACTGCTATAATTGCAGTGCCTGAAGAAGTGTGATCCATAATGCAGTTTATGAAGAAATTGGGAAACTGCTAGAAAAGGTGCAGTTTATGAAGATAGGCAGTGGGAAACTGTTACGTGCTTTATGAAGAAAGTGCCTTGCAGTGGAACTATAATGCAGAGGTGAAGAAAGTTTGCATGCATGTCGCCACTGCTGCTAAAAAAGAAATGATGAACAGTAATGCAGTGTGAGGAAGAAAGTGGAAACTGTATATAATGTATCTTTCACTGCTGCTAGAAAAATGAACTGGAACTGCAATGCAGTTTATGAAGATATGAGAACTATAATGCGCAATTTATGAAGAAGGGGTGGGAACACTATAATGCGCAATCGCCACTGAAGCTAGAAAGGGGAATGTTGAACAGTGCCTTGCAGTTTAGGGAAGAATGCGGTACTATTGCGATGCGTAACTATAGAAAAGGTGAAATAGTTACAGTGAAGAAGGGATGGAGCAGAGGGGAAGGTGAACACTATTACGATGCGTAATCTCCTGCTGCTAGAAAAGAAATGCGGTTGAACTGTTCCTTGCAGTGTGAGGGAGGGAGGGGTGAATACTTACGATGCGCCATCGCCACTGCTGCTAGAAAAGGTGGGAATATTTAATTGCCTTGCAGTGTGAGGAAGATATGGGAACTATTAATGCATGTCCTTAATGCTGTAGAAGAAATGGGAACTCGCTGCTGCTATGAAAAGGTGAAAATAGTTGAACTGTTATGAACTGTTTGTGGTGTGAGGGATGGAGGCAGAGGTGAATACTATTACGATGCGTAATCGCCACTGCTGCTGAAAAGTTGAAACTATTTGAACTGTGCCTTGCAGTGAAGGGGATTGAACACTATTACGATGGAGGCACTGCTGCTAGAAAAGGTGTGTTGAACAGTAAGAAGGGGATGCGAAAATCGCGAAACTGCTGCTAGAAAGTGATCTATAACTGTGCCTTGGTGTGAGGGAGGAGGCAGAGGTGAATACTGTACGATGCGCAATCGCCACTGCTGCTAGAAAGGTGAAATATTTGAACGTTGCCTTGCAGTGTGAGGAAGGGAGGCGCGGGAACTATAATGCAGTTCACTGAAGAAAAGAAGTTGAAATATTTTGAACAGTGCCTTTGCATGAAGATAGCAAACTGTTAATGCAGCAATTATGAAGAAAGGTGAAATAGTTGAACAGTGCCTTGCAGTGAGGGATGGAAGGGCGGAAACTATAATGCTGTTTAGAAAGATAAGGGAACTGTGCCTGCAGTTTAGGGAAGAAAGGTGAAAGTGCGCAATTGCTGCAGTGCCGATTTGAAAGTGCGGGGAGGGGGCAGGCTTAGGTGAAAATATTGGGAACTATAATGCCACTGCTGCTAGAAAATGGGAAATATTTGAACAGTGCCTTGAAGTGTGTGGGGATGCGTATAATGCAGAAAAGGTGAACAAATGCGTGCATGTCGCCACTGCTGCTAGAAAAGGTGATCTGGTTGAACTGTGCCTTTGCAGTGTGAGGGGAGGGAGCAGAAGGGGAATACTATTACGATGCAATCGCCATGAAGAAAAAAGGGAAAATATATGAACAGTTTTGCAGTGTGTGTGGGACTATAGGTGCAGTTTATTAAGATATGTGGAATCGCCACTGCAGTTTATGAAGAAAAGTTGAACTAATGCCTTTATGAAGATATGTGAATACTATTATAATGCAGTTTGTGAAGAAAGCAGGGAACTGTTCCTTATAATGCAGATTACTGTAGAAAATCGCCACTGCTGCTGCTAGACAAAGGAAGAAATAGTTGAAAGGTGATCTCTTGCACTGTTGTGAGGGTGAGGGAGGGATAATGCAGTTGATGACTAAAAATGCGCAATCGCCACTGCTGCTAGAAAAGTTGAAATGTGGGAACAGTGCCTTGCAGTGTGAGGGAACTATAGGGTTTAGAAGATAGGTGTTGAACACTAGTTGAAGAAGAAGGCGTGAATACTATTAACTAATGAAGAAAGGTGAAATCCAATGAACATCTAATGGTGAAAGGTGGTGAGGTGAACACTATTACGATGGTCTCACTGCTGCTAGAAAGGAAAATAGTTGAACAGTGCCTTGCAGTGTGAGGGGAGGGAGAGCAGAGAGAACTGTTAATGCAGTTTACTGCTGCTAGAAAAGATGAAATATTTGAACAGTGCCTTTGAAGATAGCAGAGGTGAACACGATACGTAATGCCAGTGCTGCTAGAAATGTGAAATTGTTGACAATGCAGTTGATGAAGAAAATGGGAACTATAGGTGAAACTATTATGAGTGTGAAAGGCAGAGGGAACTATAATGCTGCTGCTAAAAAGGTGAAATAGTTGAACTGTGCCTTTTAGTGTAGAAGGGAGGGAGGCTATAGGTGAACACTGTACGATGCGCAATCGCCACTGCTGCTAGAAAAGTTGAAATAGTTGAACAGTAATGCGGTGTTTGTGAAGGCAGAGGGAAACTGGCCCACGTGCATAATCGCCACTGCTGCTAGAAAAGGTGAAATGAATGAACAGTTCTTGCAGATGGAGGCAGAGGGATTATAATGCAGTTTATGAAGAAATGCGGGAACCTGCTGTGCAAGGCTTGCGAAGAAATGCGAACCACTGCTGCTTGCAGTTTATGAAGTGGCAGAGTGTATAAACACTGTTACGATGCGTGGAACCCTGCAGCTAGAATGAAGAAATAGGGGAACAGTGCCTTGCAGTGTGGAGGGGAGGTGCGGGAACTATAATGCAGTTTATGAAAATATGTGGGAACTATAATGCAGTCTAGGAAGAAATGGGGGAACAGTATAATGCAGAAAAGTGGAAGAAACTGTGCCTTGCAGACACTATAATGCAGTTTTTTTAAATCTGCTGCTAGAAAGGTGAAACGCAGAACAGTGAAGATTGGGTGTGAGGAGCAGTTTATGAAGAAACGGGAACTATAATCGCCACTGCTGCTAGAAAAGTTGAAATATTTGAACAGTTAATAAAGAAAGGGAAGTATAAAATGTGCACTGAAGAAAAAGGTGGGAACTATAATGCATTTATGAATCGCTCACTGCTGCTAAATAGTTGAAAGCTTGCAGTTGAGGGATGAAGAGAACTTATTTTAATGCAGTTTATGAAGAAAAGTGAACTATTTGGTGTATAAGTGTGAGGCGGGAACTATAATGAACCTTTATGAATTTATGCGAAATCTCCCTGCTGCTAGAAAAAAGTTGAAATGTGGTTATTGAACTGTGCCTTGAAAAGTGTGAAGGAGGAGGCAGAGGTGAATCCTTTATCATTTATGAAAGAAAATCGCCACTGCTGCTAGAAAATGGTGAAATGGTTTTAATGCAGTATAAAAGAAAGTGTAAGGGAGGAGGCAGAGGTGATGGAACTGCGTTATCATTTATGAAGAAAATGGGTGAATTGCTAGAAAAAGGATTGGGAACTATAAATGCAGTTGATGAAGAAATGTGCAGAAAAAATTTCCTTGCAGTGTGCGAAAATATGTGGGCATATAATGCAGCTGCTGCTAGAAAATTGGTTATTTAACAGTTTGCAGTGTGAAGAGGAAGGGGAAACTATAATGCGTAGTTTATGAAGAAATGCGGGAACTATAATGCATCGTTATGAAGAAAATGCAGAGGTGAATACTAAAAAGGTGAAAGGTTGTTATAGAAATATTGATAAAAGATGAACAGTGTCTTGCGGTGTGAGAAAAGGGAGGTTCCTTTATCATTTTATGAAAGAGTTGAACAGTGCCTTGCAGTTTATAGAAAAATTGAAAGGTGTTATTTTAATATTTATAAAAGAAAAATAGTATAAAATATGCAGAAAAAGCAGAGATTCCTTTATCATTTATGAAGAAAAAACCTAAATTTATAGAAAAAAAAAAGTGTGATGGAAAGGTTGTTATTTTTATCATTTATCAAGAAAATGTAAGTTATAAAAAGGTGAAGGAAAAATTTATTTTATCATTTATAAAGAAAAAGAAAAAATGCCTAAAATTTATTTATGAAAAAAGGTGAAAAAAAGATGAAAGATTAGTATTTTAATATTTATAAAGAAAAGAAGTATAAATGTGCAGAAAAAAGGAGATTCCTTTATCATTTATGAAAAAAATACTCAAATTTATAGAAAAAAATTGAAAAGAGTGGATTTATTTTAATATTTATAAAGAAAAAAAGTATAAATGTGCAGAAAAACAGGTTCCTTTATCATTTATGAAGAAAAATACCTAATTTATAAAAAAAGATTAAAGGTAACTTATTTTAATATTTATAAAAAAAGAAGTATAAATGTGCAGAAAAAAGATTCCTTTATCATTTATGAAAATACCTAAATTTGTAAAAATTGAAAAATTAGTTATTTAATATTTATAAAGAAAGAAGTATGAATGTGCGAAAAAAAGTTCCTTTATCATTTATGAAGAAAAATGCTTAAATTTATAGAAAAAAGGTGAAGGTAAGTTATTTAATATTTATAAAGAAAGAAAAGAAGTATAAATGTGCAGAAAAAGGAGATTCCTTATCATTTATGAAGAAAAATGCCTAAATTTATAGAAAAAAAAAGGTGAAGGTGGTTATTTTCATATTTATAAAGAAAAAGAAAGTATAAATGTGCAGAAAAAGGAGATTCCTTTATCATTTATGAAGAAAATGCTTAAAATTTATAAAAAAAGGTGAAAATTAAATTTATTTTAATATTTATAAAAGAAAAGAAGTATAAATGTGCAGAAAAAGGGATTCCTTTATCATTTATGAAGAAAAAAATGCCTAAATTTATAGAAAAAAAGGTGAAAAAGGTAAATTATTTTAATATTTATAAAGAAAGAAGTATAAATGTGCAGAAAAGGAGATTCCTTATCATTTATGAAAAAAATACCTATTATAGAAAAAAAAATATTTATAAAAGAAAAAAAATAAATGTGCAGAAAAAGGAAATTTAAAAATATTTAAGAAAAAGTTGAAATGATTGGTTATTTTAATATTTATAAAGAAAAATTATAAATGTGCAGAAAAAAGGATTCCTTTATCATTTATGAAGAAAAATTTATTTAAAGAAATTGTGAAAATTATTTATTTTAATATTTATAAAGAAAAAATAAAAGGAAAAAAGGAGATTCTTTATCATTTATGAAGAAAAAATACCTAAATTTATAGAAAAAGGTGAAAAGGTAAGTTATTTTAATATTTATCAAAGAAAAAGTATAAATATGCAGAAAAAAGGAGATTCCTTTATCATTTATGAAGAAAAATGCCTAAATTTATAGAAAAAAAAAGGTGAAAAGGTTGTTATTTTAATATTTATAAAGAAAAGAAGTATAAATGTGCAGAAAAAGAGTTCCTTTATCATTTATGAAAGAAAAATCAAATTTAGAAAAAAGTTGAAAGGTTGTTATTTTAATATTTATAAAGAAAAAGTATAAATGTGCAGAAAAAGGAGATTCCTTTATCATTTATGAAGAAAAAACCTAAATTTATAGAAAAAAATTGAAAGATTTATTTTAATATTTATAAAGAAAGAAGTATAAATGTGCAGAAAAAGGAGATTCCTTTATCATTTATGAAAGAAAAATACCTAAATTTATAGAAAAAAAAGGTGAAAGTT